ATTAGGAAACTTATCTAAATGCACACTTTGGAAACCTTTTCCTGGGATATTTGGTTCCTCAGTCCCTGTGATGATTTCACCTGCTGCCCAAAGTCTCAGCTATGAAGTTGAAAAGCTAGGAACAAGAAGGGATGAAAGCTGAGTGAAATAGCAGGAATTATGAGACWGTTGAATTCTGCAGAGTTGCTTCCCTCAGAATTTTAATGTTACTTTGTGCTGTCAAAGCCAGACAGATAAGAAGCTGCCTTAATGAAGCACTAATTGCATTGCATTCAAACGTCACAAATAATCCTGCATGTGGGACTCGGTCTTTATTCAGTTCTTTCTCCTTTGTATAAAGAAGATTAAGTGAATTTGAGAATTATTATTGAGAATTGAGAATTATATAGCTGAAGCTGACTTTTATTCTTTACAAAAGAGAGAAGTCTTTTTTGTTTTACAGTCAGAAGGTCCTGGTTAAAAGTGAAGAATAATGACATGCAACAGAAGCGTAAAATCTTGCGTTTGAGCACTTAAAGGTGAATTCCAGGAGCTGTGTATTTTGGTGTCAAAATTTTGGAGTGGGAGACCWTGTGGAGCAGGTTTTACATGACATCTGGAAGAAGGCTGGGTAGGGGCAAACCAAATAATCGGACATTTCAAACCTTTCCATCTCAGGAGGCCGTGTGCAATTGATTTGGTTTAAAGTTCCCYACAACTGCCGTATTTACCCAGCTACAAAGCAAATTATCAGTGTGTTATTCACTGAGGAACTTCTGCCGCTTCCTTTTCATTGCTTATAGGTGCTCTACAGCCTAGTTAAGCTCCATGCATAATTAGCAAGGAAGTTTGAGCTGGAAAGCACACTGGATGCCCACGGTGAGTTTTAGGTATCCTAAAAAAACAGCTCAAGTGCAATGTGAAGTGGCCTCATCACCAAGCAGTACCTAGCCCCACTGAGAGGAGCAGCCAGAAATTAAATATAGTCACAGCTCAGCCCGCTGAGATGACTTCCTTGACCCTCATGATTGAAACCAAAATCATCCTCTGTGTGTGCAACACCCACAAACACCTTCCTGCAGGATGGGATTCATTTTCTGCTATTTTAGTCACTGAAAAAAGGCTGCATTCAGCTTTCAGCCCTCCCAACAAGGAATTCCGGTCCCTCTGTGGCCGTGAGACAGACGGAGCTGAGAGGAGGGGAGAGGCTTTGGAAAGCTCCATCCCTGTTCCCAGTCTGGTGGGATGTGTGACTTCGACGGGGACACCCAGGTCCCACCGCTGACCCCATGATGTCTTTAGGGTGGCTGACCAGCATTTAGGGGGCCRTGCTGGGTAAATGAGGCAATGGGTGAGGGTCATCCCATCCTACCCCTGCCACCTTCCACTGTCCCAGGCTGCTCCCAGCCCCAATGTCCAGCCTGGCCTTGGACACTGCCAGGGATCCAGGGGCAGCCACAGCTGCTCTGGGCACCCTGTGCCAGGGCCTCCCCACCCTCCCAGCCAGCAATTCCTTCCCAATATCCCATCCATCCCTGCCCTCTGGCACTGCCAAGCCATTCCCTGTGTCCTGTCCCTGCAGCCCTTGTCCCCAGTCCCTGTGCAGCTCTCCTGGAGCCCCTTTAGGCCCCAAAAGGGGCTCTGAGCTCTCCCTGGAGCCTTCTCTTGTCCAGGTGAGCACCCCCAGCTCTCCCAGCCTGGCTCCAGAGCAGAGGGGCTCCAGCCCTGGCAGCATCTCCGTGGCCTCCTCTGGCCTGGCTGCAGCAGCTCCAGGTCCCTGTGCTGTTGTTGCCCAGGGCTGGGGCAGCTCTGCAGGTGGGGTCTCACCTGAGCGGGGCAGAGGGGCACAATCCCCCCCTCCCCTGCTGCCCACGCTGGGGCTCAGCCCAGGACAGATTTGGATTTCTGGGCTGACATCCCTTGGGCAGGAAAAGCTCATCAGGTGAATCTCTTTCTCCCGTCTGCTCCTCCTGAGGCAGCACCAGCCCAGAACAAGGAATTGGGGTCAGGTCTCTGTTTCTGTCCTCACTGCTGACAGGAAAATGCAGCCAGACACAATCACACATCCTGGGTGAGGGGCTAAGGATGGAAAAAGCTGGCATTTTGCTTTTTCTGGCAGTTTTGGTAGCCAGCCAGTCTCAGACAGCATCTGGAGAGCTGAGCACGGGCTGGATATTGGTGAGAGTCCTGAGCTCTCTGCTTGTGAGTGCTCTCCAGCTGAAAACTCCAGTTTGCTCCTGTCCCCACTGCTTCCCTGGCAATTCCCTGCTAGCTTTGCTCAGGACAGCATCGCTGCCATTCCCCAGCAGGGCAGAGGAACCCCTGGCTGAGCCTGTTCCAGCACCAGGGTGGGGGAAAACAGACATTTTCAGTCAACTTGGCATTACTCACAGTTCAATTTTGCACATTTTAGCTGAAGAAAACTTTCTGGGTTTTACTTCTCAGAGGATGCAGCATCGTTCACACGTCATTGAGAGAGGACACTTCTGTACTCCAGCAGAAAGGCCRCCAGCTGGGCTGGGGGACACCTGATTCCTGCTTGGTTCAAAGCAAGGGYTTGATTCAGTATCTCTTGACTCATAGAGCAGCCTTTTTGACCACAAAGTAAGAGTGTCACTGGCTATGAATAAGCAGCTTTTTAGAAAAGTGGGACATCTTCTACAGCCAAAAATGTCCTTTTCCCTTGGGACAGGGGGGTGAAGGTGCTGTGTTACAGATCCCTGTTTAGCATCAAGCAGAGTGAGAGCCCCAGGTGAGTGATTAAGAACCCTGCAGARCCATTCAATGCACAAAAAGCACGGCTTGCTGCTCAGCTTTGGTGTAGCTACTGCTCCCTTTAAAACAAATTTCTATAACCTGGAGCAGCATTCTTCTTTTGAGCTGCTAAAAACCCCAGCAAGGCTTGGCTTGGTTCAACAGAAGGCCATGGACTGGAACACCTGAAGTCTGAGGACACAATTCAAGCACATTTTATCTCAAGATAAGTTTTACTGAGGTTTTTTTTCTCAGGCTGACATATGACCATGCAGTGGAAGGTCACTGAGGTGTTCAAGGGGTTGAACAAGGTGAACACTGAGGTTCTCAAGGAAGCAAATGGCAACTGGGAAAGGCTGAGAAAAACAGAGTTTTTAAGCAATGAAATGRAAAGGCTGASGGGGAACCCAGTTATAACCTTCTGYTCTTTGAAAAGAGGTTACAGAAACCTCTGGTCCAGACTCTTCTCAGGCAGACAGCAAAAAGGCACGAGGCAATGGACACRGGTTGCACTGAGGAAAACCCTGATGAGATATAAAGAACTAAACCTTCCCAGTGAGAGTGGTGCTGCCTGTGATGAGGACTCAGGGTGTCTGGGGAATCTCCACCCTGGAAGGTTTTCACAGCTCACTCGGACATGGCTTTACAGTTATCCATGCTTGGAGCCAGGGGAGGAACCACTCACGTCCAGGCATCCCCTTCAGTGTAAGATCTCCCTGATTCATTCCTCCCCAACATCCTGCCACAGCTCTCAGGCTCATGTTTGCACAGCCTTTGCAGACACAATGTTTGCTGCTGCACACAGGGACGGGCTCTGTTTCAGTCAGGTGGTAACAAAAATGGTAATTTACATCTCTGCCTCCTCCCTTCCCCTCACTTCCCCCAGTCTAGTGAGAACTCACTGCTGGGTATTTGCTCTAGGCAGGTGCCAAACTTCTCTCCCACCTGACTGATGCTCCACCCAGCCCACATYCAACAAGAGACACAAAGGTGGGTATTTTATTAGGCGTTTGTTGGAGTAACTTGTTGAGCTGCTCTGAATTCATTCCCATTCTGTTCTCGCCACCTCAGCATCTGAGCCGCTTCCATGACACGTTAGATAGTGTGACTAATATCTGTTGCATACTGTTTGTTCTGTCACCTTTTCCCAGAGGGAGAAGTGTGTGAAATATTAAGTTTTGCTGGCCTAATTTTATCTTGTGCCTTGTTTTAACTTGTTGGGGCTTGGTTTGTGTCTCTCTGCAACGATTTCTGCACGTTCACGCGAAGGAGGCAGGCAAAAGGAAGGTGCTGGGTGTTTCAAGGAAAGGTAGTGAAATTTTTAATAACTGTTCATTTTTTGGAGTGAAATCCACACGAGCTCACAGGAGAGGTCTGATTCTCTTAGAGATGAGCTTTGCCCATAACTTATGTCAGAGGAGCAAATTTCTCCCTTTAGTTTGTCCCATGGGTGAAAAAGYATTATGATGCTATGAAGACCATTTCTCAGGACAAACCACCAAGCAAATCCTGTCCATAGGAGGGAGTTTTGTTTATCCCTGCGGAGCTCAGAATGGGCTCTGGAGCTCTGGACAAGCTYTCCTCGTATCCTACCACACCATGAACTTCATAACTTTAACATCTGCCCTCATTCTAATGGTAACTAAAGTGAGTTTTTCCCCTATTTTGGCTCTTCACAGATCATCCTGAGGAACCTGACTAATCAAGAAGTGGCCACATTTACCTATGGGGATTGGCTGTCCAAGCTGAAAAACGAAAACGGAAGCCTGGAGTGTGAGATGCCAGCAGTGATAAATGACGAGCAGATGATGGAGGACACCACATACACTCTTCAGGTTAAAACCAGTGATGTTGGAGGTTGGTCCTTGCTWGATATTTTGTTACTTTTCTAGCACATTATTTGGTCCTCAGCAACGGAAAGCATCTGCTTCATTTCAAATGACATTTTAAAAAACATGTTTTAGCTGGAATACAACAGTTTTGTCTGGCTGTTCACCATAGCAATGTCCTTGTGAGATTCATTCTTAGCTGTGCTCTGGGCAAAACACATTTACACAGAAAGCCCAGGTCTGACTGCCCTTTGATTCCTCCAAAGACACCTTAACAGAAACTATTACCAGACCAAGYTGCAGAGGACAGCAGCCACATTTTTCCTTTTTTGGTCAGTCCCATCCATGTAGGGTGGTCAGAGGTGATGTGCTTCGTGTTTTCAGTCAGCCCCATTTGCCTTGCCCAGAGCAGAAAAYGATAATTCCCCACCTTTTCAAAGTATTTTGAGACGATTTATCTCAAGCTGAAAAAAAACCCCAAAATTCCTAAATGCACACCAGATAGAAGAGGTGGAATGGGGTGCACAGAAAGCTGCAGAGCTTCAAGAGCCCAGAAATGGGGTTTCAGTGTCATTGYCTGGGTTCACTGACTCTTTTCATGGGAACTTTTGTCAGGCTGCTGGRTGAAAGCTGCAGCCACACAGAAGGTGTCTCATGCCAAGGTAGGGCAAGCCAGACATTGTTTTAGACACCTTGTTTCAAAGGTTGTCCCTCAAGTGAGATTCTGTCACACCAGTGTACAGATCTACCTTCTGACCTCTAAATATCTTTTGTTTTTCTCCTTCATTACTTCTTTTTCTTGGTTTGTTTTTTTTTCTCCCCGGTTTCATCAGTGGTAATTTATGCAGCTTTTGAGGTTTGATCTAAGAATATCAAAATTTCCCTGGCAGAGCGTCTTTGTGCCACTTCACCATTTATTATCTCTCTTCCCTGCCAGCTGTTTGTCTGAAAAACATGTAGTGAAATACAAAAAAAAACAAAGAAGAGAGAGAGAGAGAGAGAGAGAGATTTGTTTATGTATCTGGCAATCCATCTAATATGATGGTAGATCTTCCTATGACCTTTTTTTGTGAAAACCAGCCCTAACTCACAAAGGTGATGGAAATAGAAATGAGAGGAGAATAGAAAATGACAGCAGCAGCAGACAGATCTGCCCTTCCCATTGAATAAAGGATGATGGGTATTAATGAAGAAACATTTTATTTCATTATGAACAGCGACAACCAGTAGGAAAGAGCAGATTACAGAGAGGTTTCAGAGAGTCTGTTTGTGATTAGATCACACAGCTCACTGACATAATGCTGAACTTTATCCAGCTTATCTAAAGCAGGTGCAAGTCATGAACCATCTCCCTCTTTCGTTCATTATGTATTCCACAATTACTCCTGCTTGGACCAATTCAGGGAGAAAGACATTTTATCCTTGGCAGTGTTTTAGTATGTTATATCATCTCCTGCCACACTGACATTGTCGAGGAGCAGCGATACTGCACAACTACTGGAATCAAATGTGTTTATTTCTAGGTGTAAAGTTTGTCTTTGCAATGGCTTTAAACTTTCCAGTGCATAAGAGTCACTGAAAGTGAAAAAATAAAACAAGCTAATTCATCTCACCTATTTGTCACTCTCTGAAAAATTGTAATTCTGGTTTTAGCTCCTCCTGGTCTAGTCAATTCATATGGGAGAGGAGAATCTTCATCAGTGGTCTGGATAATCCTTCTGAGGGTCTCTGCCTCTTGAGCCTTTCTTCACCAGAGACTGCATGATTAAGTTAGGCTAGATGGCTCAAGTTAGGGAAAATGAATCCCACAAAGAATGTCCTGCAGCAAACTAGAAAGCACAAACTATTTCCTCCCCAACTCTGCTTCAACAACGGCATTATRTTACATTTTCCTCAGAGAAACCTTTAAGTCACTGTTTGGCTTTCACAAAGTYATTCTACCCCAATGATAATTTTACCTACAGAGGTTGAAGGGGGAAAGACTCTGCTCCTCTGCTCCTGCAAAGCCCAAATCACCTCTCTTCCACCACCAGCTGTACCTCAGRTGGCTCTCAGAATACACAAAGATAAGAAGAGGTCGTTAGGACATGCACCTTCYAAGYCAGATTGGTAATTTTTGGTTAAAAYCAAAGTYTTTAATTTGGATGTAAAGCACRATCTCATTTTCTCCAAGGTARGACSCACAGATGCAATAAAGCCAGACCTTCTGACAGCTCTTTCTTAGACACTAAAGTGTCCTCTGGCTGGTTAATTTTTACTTTCTCTATCCAAGAATCAWATACATGGTAATGCAGTAAAGATGGAGAGTGAATAAATACAGCTTTCTCCTTTTCCAAGCATTAATGAAGCAGAAGGTTTTTATCTCTGCTGTTATAAGATTAATTAGGWTGTTGTCAGCTCAGTTCCAACCTACAAATTACATAATTTAGGGCAGTTGCTGACAGTTCCTAGTGCCTTATCCAGGTCTTTATTATGTCAAAAGAAAGACATTCTTTGGCCTCAGAAGGCTGTGACTCCAACCCAGAGYTGGTTTTAAAATGAAGCATCTGTTCGGTAAGAATCATAGAATCATACARTCACCAAGACTTCTGTGGAAAGGGTCCTGTGGAGGTTATTTCACTCATTTCCTTGCTCTGAGGATTGTTCCAGCATTCTGTAAAGCTAATTTAGACTGCCCAGCCAAACAATGGACACCTCCAGGGACGGTAATGCCACCACCTCCCCGGGCATCTGATCCAAACCTGCATCACATTCCTAAAAAAATGGGTTTTTTCCTGATTCCCAGCCTGAGCCTCCCCAGCAATTCGTGGCTGTGGTTATTTGGGGTGTGATGTGACACAGTGCATGGCCCTGTCCCCATTATCCCTGTCCCTGCCCGTGGTCAAGGGTCCCTGGTACACCTATCCCTGCTCGTCCTCTCAGGGCTTCTCCTCACACCAGAGAGGTGTCCAGACCTTGTCCACCTTGGTCAGCATCCTCTGAGCTCCTCTCAGTGTCTTGACACAGCCCAGGAATTCAAACTGGCATTTTGCACCAAACACTGGAAACTTCCCACCAGCTGGGATTCAATCAGAATATGAACGGTACTGATGTGAACTTTGGGTCATCTTCAACTTCCAGCACCTGAAATGTTTATTCCACCCCAGACACAGGACTTTGCATTTYTCCTTGYTGAATTCCATGGGATTTCTGCTTGCCCAGTCCTCAAGCTCCTCAAGGTCCATCTGGGTTGGAATTCTGGCATTCAGAGTCAGTCACTCCCACAAACCTACTGTCAGCTGGAAATGTGCTGAGGAAACTCTCTGCCTTTGTTTAGGGGGTGAAGTTCARCTCAGTTCAGTTCTGCAGATCCCAGGATCAAAAAAAATGAGCTTTCTACTCATCACCAGTTAAGGTTGGTGCAACCACAGTGCTTTCATCTCTTCATTTGTCAAGGTTTTTACAATTCCTAAATGTACCTGACAGTTTCCTGGAACTGGCCACAACAGCAACAACAACAAAAGAAATATSAGAGACCCAAATAGGTGAAATGTACATTGATTTAGCATTTCTGTTCTTTACTCTCCCATCTCCTGCTAATTGCTTGTGAGGGAAATGTCACAGCATGAGACCTTCATAAGCTTCTTCCTGCAGGGACGGTTTGGCTAAGAAACAGTTGGCTCTGTGCTTTTTGAGACCTGGCATTAATTAGGAGCTGCTCCTTGCAAGGAAATGGACTTCAGTTTGCTTTGTTCCTCACCTCAGCAAGCTTCGGGGTCATAAAAAGTACTGCCAGACGAACTCYCTGAATCCCTGATGCTTTCTCTTCCTACTTAAACCCTTCCCAGGGAACTGTTGAAAATCAGCCCAAATTTAACATGGTCAGCTTTTTGCATGGACACCACATGTTGCTTTGCCTTTCCTCTGTATCACTTCTTTTAGTAGTTTAGTCACTTTTTTTCTCTTCTTTTAGTATATTTTCCTWTTCAGTCCTTCCATAAGAAGGATTCCATCCTAACTTTAGTATTTGAATAATTTTCCTGTGGAAGTGGTAGCTTTCTCCAGAAGTTTACAGTCCCCCTAACTTTGTCTCTGCGTCGKGTTTGAATGGAGCAGTGGGAAACACTGTCTGTGTGGCTCAAAAGTGGATTTATGATGCTCYTATGTAAGAAAGGGCCTGGCAGGAGGTTAGAGTTTCAAAGCCGGGCTATCCAAACGAGGGCAGCAGATGCTGGGTTTCTTTGTAAGGCAGATTTGAGCTTGATTGTCTCRTTTTTCCTTTTCCAAAATTTAAGGGCCTTGGTTCTGACAGCGCAATGACCATCTGCCTGCGCGGAATCTTATTTCTGTCTGTGAATTTGCTTTTGTATTACGGCATCAGAATTAAAATGCAGCCATTTCAGTCAAATTATAAATAGTGCCAGGTGAAAACATAATGCTAGCAGCTAAAATGTAAGGTCCCTGCAGTTGATGGTTTGGCCTTGAGCTCCCCAAAAGTCAGGAAAACAGCATGGCAGTTTTCTTTGGAAAATACGGGTAGTAGTGGACATTTAGCATTCAGTACCAGGTAATAAAGATCATCGTGGAAATTCTTTTCTTTCCTATCATATACATCATAAGAAAGTGGGAGCTGGAAGAGCAAACTGTTGCATGAGAAACTGAGACTTTTTCCATTTAATGTAGCATGGACAATATTTTGAGAACAAGCAATAAAGAAGGAAGATCTGTTGGGGTGCGAGGGAAATGGGCTTTGAGATGCCTCAGTGGCTTGGTTGGTAATGTGAACGTAGCTCTGAAATCTCTGTACAGCACAGGTAGAGCAGGAGACAGATCCCATCTGAAGGACCCTGAGCGCCWCAAGATCTTGGAGAAGGGAATGGCTGAGTGTGGAAAAGGGACTGTGCCTCAGTGGGAAGSCCAGGACAGCACTTTGCAGATAGAAAAGTTAAAGTGTGCTCTTAACATGCTTTGGTAAATTACTGCTGGGTCAGACAATTTACTTCCCAACCTGGAATAATGGGAGTTACCATACTGACATCCCCTGCAGGGTGTTGTGATGGACCCTGCTCCATCAGGAACAGAAATTCCTGCTTGCTGYGAGCGCTGCCATCATCACCATCACCACAAGCTGCATTTGTGGGATGGACTGGAAGGGCTGGCTGTCCTCCCCGCAGGATCCTGCATGAATCCACTGAAAWGTCTTGGCTGTGCCCAGAGAAACATGATTCCCCTTGCAGCCTCTTGCAGCATGCCTTTGGTGCCTCCCCAGGAGTCAGGGTCACTCAGGGTGTTTTTCTGTGCTCTGTCCCTCCAGGAGCGGGCACCGACGCCAACGTGTGGCTGATCCTGTTTGGGGAGTACGGGGACAGCGGCACCCTGGCTCTGAAGGAGTCCGACAAGTCCAACAAGTTTGAGAGGAATCAGCTGGACGAATTCAGCTTCTCTGATATGCTGAGCCTGGGAGACCTCTGCAAAGTGCGCATCTGGCACGACAACAAAGGTCAGGGCAGGGGCATGGCTGGTGGGAGAGGCTGGGCTGTTTTCACTCGAGGAAACACATCTCCTGCTCCACGGACACAAGGCAGGCTGAAGGCACTGTCCCCAGCTCTGCTTCAGGCTCGGAAAATCACCTGGATTTCACCCAGTTCCTGTCCCAGCTTCCCTGTCTAGATCACCCCTTTTATTCAGGTCATGTCACCCTCTGGAGTGACAGCCTGGCCTCGCAGCCACCTCTGCAGTACCGGGGACACCTCCCAGAGCAAACCCACCCAGCCCCTTGTCCCCACACACCGTCCTCATCCATGCCATACCCTTCACACAGGCCACCACAGCGTTTCCAGAGCCATTTAATGCTCTCAGCCCRTCTCTGACACGTGGGGTAATGCAGCCTGGCGTGGCACAGCGAGCCTCAGAAGGCACAAGTGAAGATCCGTGTCTGCCGTTATTAAGATCACCACGTCAGCCGGTGAGCACACGGCGGGCTGCTCAGAGAGTTTCTGACATTTCCCTGCTGCTGGACACCCTGGCTGGTGTCACAAACAGCAGAGCAGGGATCTGTGCCACTGTCACAG